TGCCCCATTTCCACAGGCAGTAGCACTTTTGATCCCAATAAGAAGCTGGTGGAGACCTCCACAAGATCAGAGAGTTAAAAATCCCAGCAGGGTTTCCCACCTCTGATACTGGGGCTCCTGGCAGTTGTTGGATGCTGGGGAAGAGAGTCCCTTTTTCGAGAGAGGAGGACAGCCATTGGTAGAATGCCCCTGCCTCAGTGTTTGACTCCATACCCACGTGCACGTGGGCAGCACTAATTGGACTTATTGAGCTCTGGAAAAACAAAAACCATGAAGCAGGGAGGGAGGTGGAAGATATGTTGGGAGGGGTGTGGTGGGGAGATGGAGGGAGGGAGGGAGTGGAGGATGAATATGACCAAGACACATTGGATTCCTGCATGAAATTTTCAGGGAAATAAACAAGCACCTTGTGAGAACACAGCACTGTTTCCACCCTAATTTGTGCAGTTCTAGGGAATGAACCCATACCCTGCACATTCTAGGCAGATGCTCCAGCCCCAGCCTCCATTTTATAGACGGGAACAGCGAGGGACAAAATCACCAGGTCAGTGCAGCTCCAGCATGGAACTGACATTCGCACCCTGGAGCGCATCCTTCCTACAACACTGCCTGCTTCTCTCCCAAGCCCTTCTGCTTTTGCCTGGAGGTCCTGGGGAACTCAAACTTTTTTCCTTTCTTTTATGGATGAAAAATAGCTTAATAAATGAGGGAACTGTTAATGTTCAAATCTGCCAAAGATTATCCCATCTTTCTGTCGTCTTTGGCCTAGGCTGTGTCCCTGCAAATGCCAATAAGAAAACAGAGATGGAACAACAATATTAACAGACACTTTAAAGCCATTATGAACCTGCATCTGCAATTTTAATGGACTAGATACAGGTATACTAATTTATACACAAACATTTTAAAAAGTAATTTATCCCATGTGCATTGGTATCTTGCCTGCATGTATATCTGTGTGAAGGTGTCAGGTCTCTTGGAATTTGAGTTACAGACTTTTGTAAGCTGCCATGTGGGTGCTGGGAATTGAACCCAGGTCTCCTGAAAGAGCAGACAATGCTCTTAACCACTGAGCCATCTCTCCAGCCTTGACACACAGGTATTTTCAACTACCTTTCCTTTTAAATTTAAAATCAGGCCGGCAAAATGAACTTTCTGTTTTGGTATTTTTGAGATAGAACCTCACTATGTAGCTCCTGGAACTCTCTATGTAGACCAAGCTGGCCTCAAACTCTCAGAGATTTGCCTGCCTCTGTCCAAGTGCTTCATAATGAACTTTTTATCAGCAAAACTGTCTGATGAGAATTTAAGAAAGCTTCAGAGAACAAAATCTAAATAAGTTATTTTTCCTGAGCCTTCCACTGTTGAAGGCAGACATAGAATAAACAAGAAGTGGGCCAGATTATGCATTTGATTTGCTTAAAATGCATTCTCCTTTTCTAAATAAATATAAACAGGAGCAGTGGCTAGTGGGATTACTCACTAAGGGCAGCTGAACAAGACAGACTAAAAATAAAAAGCAACAACCTAGGTTCTTTGGTTCTCAATGGGCATCTAAGCAGGGGAAGGCTTAGAACAAGCTGCCAACCTTGTAGGCGTATTTATAAAGAGCATGGCCTGCTCTCCCATCAGAATCTACTAACTTCCACCAACAATGATGGATTTATGGCTACCATCCCCTAAAAACAGACTGAGAATCAGAAACAGCAGGAAATAGGAAAAGGCTGGATATGGATAAACACATCCGACTCTTGAGATGAATCCACGGTTGTACTTCCTGCTGGGTCCTGTCTTCTGTGGGCATATGCAATGTTCTCTGCCTATAATTATGTGTGTGTGGCTAAGAGCAGAGGCAGCTAAGAGGGGGAAGAGTCCCGCTTCTCTGGGGACAGGAAGGGAAACAAAACTGAAGTTAGCAGTTACAGCTCCTAGAAGCCTTTGACTTTGTTTTTGAAGTATGGTTTTCCCAGTAAAT